CAAATATGGGCTTTATGAGTGGTTAGTTATGCCTTTCGGCTTGACTAATGCACCTAGTACTTTTATGAGATTAATGAACCATGTTTTTAAGGATTTTCATGGAAAATTTGTTGTGGTGTACTTTGATGATATCTTGGTCTTTTCTAATACTTTAGAAGAGCATGTAGAACACCTAAAACAAGTTTTTGAAGTTCTTAGAAAGCAATTTTTATTTGCTAATCTTAAAAAGTGTACTTTTTATGTGGATCGTGTGATTTTCTTGGGTTTTGTAGTTAGTTCTAAAGGAGTTGAGGTTGATGAAGAGAAAATCAAAGCAATAAAAGAATGGCCTAAACCTAAGAGTGTAACTGAAGTTAGGAGTTTTCATGGACTTGCTAGTTTTTATAGGAGGTTTGTGAGAGACTTTAGTACCATTGCTTCTCCTTTAACTGAAGTTATTAAAAAGGATAAGATTTTTAAATGGGGAAAAGAACAAGATGATGCTTTTAACTTGTTGAAAGAAAAGTTATGTTCTGCTCCATTGTTACAATTGCCTGATTTTTCTAAATCTTTTGAAATTGAATGTGATGCTTCGGGCAAAGGAATAGGTGCTGTTTCGATGCAAGATTAGCCTACTTTAGTGAAAAGTTAAGTGGAGTCACATTGAACTATTCCACTTATGACAAAGAGCTATATGCTTTGGTAAGGGCTTTAGCCACATGGCAACATTACTTGTGGCCAAGAGAGTTTGTCATTAAAACTGATCATGAATCCTTGAAATACTTGAAGAGTCAAGGTAAGCTTAGTAGAAGGCATGCTAAGTGGGTTGAATTCATTGAAACGTTTCCTTATGTAATTTCTTACAAACAAGGGAAATGAAATATTGTTGTTGATGCACTTTCAAGGAGGTATGTCTTAGTTTCTACCTTGACTTCTAAATTAATGGGTTTTGATCAAATCAAGGGACTTTATGCTAATGATGTTGATTTTGGCAAAATTTTTGCAGATTGTAAGTTGAGTCTTTTTGAGAGGTTTAACCTCCAAGATGGCTTTCTCTTTAAGGAAAATAAGTTGTGTATTCCTAATTGCTCTTTACGTGAAGTATTTGTAAGGGAAGCACATTGTGGAGGGCTTATGGGACACTTTGGAGTCCCAAAGACACTAGACATACTGTCCGAAAATTTCTTTTGGCCTGGAATGAAAAAAGATGTTGAAAGAATGTGCGTACAGTGTTTGGAATGTAAACAAGCTAAATCTAAAGTGTTACCACATGGTCTTTACACGCCATTACCTGTTCCTACTTCGCCTTGGATTGATATTTCCATGGATTTTGTGTTAGGTTTGCCTAGAACAAGATATGGTAAGGATAGTATATTTGTTGTGGTAGATAGGTTCTCCAAAATGGCTCATTTTATTCCTTGTTTAAAGACTAATGATGCCTCACATGTTGCTGATCTTTTTGTAAAAGAGGTTGTCAAATTTCATGGTATACCTAGAACTATTGTTAGTGATAGGGATGCTAAGTTTTTGAGCCACTTTTGGCGTGTGTTTTGGGGGAAGTTAGGTACTAAATTGTTGTTTTCTACTTCTTGTCACCCACAAACTGATGGACAAACTGAAGTAGTTAATAGAACCTTAGGAAACATGTTGAGGGCTGTTTTGAAAGGTAAATTAACTTCATGGGAAGATCACTTACCTATGATTGAATTTGCTTACAATAGAACAATCCATTCTTCTACAGGTATGTCTCCTTTTGAGGTTGTTTATGGTTTTAATCCCTTCACTCCCCTTGATTTATTACCATTACAAACTAATGATATTGCTAATCTTGATGGTAGGACAAAGGCTGAGATGATGAAAAAAATTCATGAACAAACAAGGCTTGCAATTGAGAAGAAAAATGAGCAAACTGCCTTGAGAAAGAATAAGGGACGAAAGCAAGTTATTTTTAAACCTGGAGATTTAGTTTGGGTTCACTTTAGAAAGGAGAGATTTCCTTCCAAAAGGAAGTCAAAGTTGCATCCTAGAGGAGATGGCCCATTTCAAGTCCTTGAAAGGATTGGAGACAATGCTTACAAGTTGGACCTTCCTGGTGAGTTCCAAGTAAGTGCCACATTTAATGTTGCTGACTTATCTTTGTTTGATGTAGGATCGAATTCGAGGACGAATTCTTTTCAAGAAGGGGGGAATGATAGCATCAAGAACAAGGATATAGTTAAGGACAATGATAGAGATGATAGAGTTTTGGAAGCTCCAAGGCCATTTACAAGATCTCAAGCTAAAGAGTTGCAAGCTAAGGTTGCTAGACTTCAATGGCAAATAAAGAAGCTTTTAATTGTAGAGGAAGAGCTCAAGCCCAAAGGAGATGAATTGTCCAAGTTTTACAATTATTTGGTAGTCCAAATTGAAGTCCAAGAGGAGGAAGATTGGGTTACCAAATCAGCCCTTGAAGTCCACCAATAGGGCTCAAAATGACCTTAAAAGAGGTCCAAAAGGGGGTGTTTCAAAAGGAGCCCAATTGGAGTCCAAACCAATGGCCCAAACTAAAAGTTTTAAGGCCCAAATCTGCCCCAAAAGGATTTGGCCGCCCCCCACTTAATTTTGATGGCTTTTGTTACCCCTTAGGAGCCACCTACCTAAGTTTGATGGCTATTGTGACCCCTAGCAGCCCCCTACCTAATTTAGATGACTTTTTAGCAACCCCCTACATTATTTTAAGTGCTTTTAACTCCTATAAATAAGGAGTTCTTCTCATTCATAAGATACAACATTTATTGATTAAGTATATCATACTTTGAGAGTTCTTTTGAACCTTTGTTACTTGTGCTTTGAGATTTATCTTTCAACCTTTACTAGTTCTTAGTTCAAGGTAGTAAGATTACTTCTCTTTTATGATATCTTTGATTCCTTTGTGGTATTCTTAGAAGGCGATTAATACTAGTTATTAATTGTTGTCTCAAGTTACTCGTAAAGTGGTCAAGATCCGAATCTATTGTTTTGATTTGCTTTTTAAGTAAAGGCGTTTGATTTCTTTCATAAATCAAGACGTTGTTACTTTGATCTTGTCAAGGCTATAGAACTTACGTTCTTGGAAGATCTTGGAATTCTTTCCTTGAATTCTTCCCATATCCTTTATTTTCATCTCTTTAATTCTAGTTGTTCAATTCCTTGTTGTTATTGCTTCCGCATTTACTTCTCAAATTCTTACTCTAATTTGGATTCCCGACCTAGTTGTTATCACACTAGACCACTAGAGATGCATGTGCCTGTGCAACAAAAATGCACAGCAAGAATAGCATGAGTACAAAAACAACGTCTACTCAGTAAGTATCCCGTCTAATTTTTGTCACGACCCGTTTCCGCAATAGGTCATGATGGCGCCCAACACCATTGTCGGGCAAGCCAATGCGAAAATATAAATAAGTTCTCATTTTACTTTTACCAAAATAATTGCAGCAATTTCTTAAGTTAAAATTAAAAACAAGTAATAACCAGTAATGTACCAAAATAATTATACAAATTCGCAAAATAACAGTCTACTAATGTGTGTGCCAATACCTGGTGTCACAAGTTGTGGGCAATTAGTAGAATATACAAAAGAATAATTCTATCCTACTGTCCGAAATAGAATAGACAACAAAAAAATAAGTAAAGAGAGACTCCATCAAGCTGCTGAACGGCACAGGAAGGGAGCAGCTCACAGTGGAGGTCTCAGAATATACTCAGGGATGCGCACCAGACTGGTAGCCAGATGTACCAGCCTCAGATCCTGTACAATTAAGAACATAAGTGTAGTATGAGTACATAAATAATATGTACCCAGTAAGTATCATGTCTAATCTCGAAGAAGTAGAGACGTGAAGTCGACTTGACACTTACTAGGGTCAAATAATATAAGAGATGAATTATACTAAGCATGGATAAAACAAATAATTAGCAGTATATAGCAAGAACTAACAGGTCCTCTCCTAGATAATGTCACAGCTGGCAACTTCCATTCCAGGACAAATAATAAACTCAAGTCATAGAAAAAAATACTGAGTAAAGCATGCGCAAGTAGTGCCGAGGTTGTACGGCCTGATCCAACATAAAAGTAAATTGTGCACTGTCGAGGGTCGAACAGCATGAAACATAGATGCATCTATTACCCCGCCCGCGAATCAACCATGCGACACGGTCAAATGTGATTAAACACAACAATAAACAAACAAGAACATATAACGGGGGAAAAATTACTCACTGAATTATCAACGTTTCTTTAAAAAGGCCAATAAAGATCATGCTCCTCTTAACTAGTCTCATTTATCATAATCACCATGATTTAAACAATCCAAATTAAATGTAGAGTTGCAAGAATACCACATAAAGCATGCTTTTGGGTCCTAAACTACCCGGACTTAGCATAATAGTAGCTACGTACGGATTCTCGTCACCTAGTGCGTACATAGCCCCCGTATTTAATGACATATTATTATATTACATCACCTATGGGGACAATTCCCTCTTACAAGGTTAGATAGGAGACTCACCTCGATCCAAAGCGTACTTCCAATACGATGAACGAGCTCAAACTCTCAATTTGAGCCGAACGATCCAAAACTAGATAAACGAGGTAGGAACTAGTCAATACAAGCTCCCATGATCGCATTCTAACTATTTAAGCAATTTCCCACCCTTAAACACAAGTTTCCTAAAATCCGACCCCGGGCCCACATGCCCGAATTCCTAAATTTTTCGAAGAAAGTTGTTCTTTGTAACCTAAGGATCAATAATATATGATTTCTACTTCATTTCATAACCAATTCCGTGGTAAAATATGAGTTTTATCAAAACCCCAGGTTTTGCTCTAATCTCTTGATTTTTCCAAATCTTTATGTGTTAATCTACCCAAAACTCAAGTATTAAACTTAGAAATAAGGGATATGAACTTACCTCAAGATGCTAGGTGGAAATCTTCTCTCAAGAGCTCCAAAATCGCCCAATACACGAGTACACAATGGGCAAAAATGACTGGAGCCCGTATTAAATGAAACTCACTGCTTCAGGGATTTCCGCATCTGTGGTCAGGGGACCGCATCTGCGGTCTCGCTTCTGCGAGGAAGAGGCCGTATCTGCGGAATTGGCCAACCGAGTTGGGACCGCTTCTGCGGTCTTGAAGCCGCTTATGCGGCTGCTTCTGCGGTTTGGGCCTGGCCTGCCTTGGCCGCATCTGCGAGAGGACGACTGCTTCTGCGGTCTCGCACCTGTGGCTGACCAACCGCAGGTGCGGTTATGACAGAAACTAGAAGCTTCAGCTCTTCTCAACCTTTCCAACTTCACTCGAGCCTCGTCCGATTGACGCTCGGGCTCCCGGGCCCCGCCCGAACATACCGTCAAGTCTGAAATCATGAAACGGACCCGCTCGAATCCTCGGAACACCCGAAACAATGCTAAATCTACGAATCACCCCCTAAAACCAATTGAATCAAACTTGTGAACTTCAAGATCTTAAATTCACTTCTAACGTGCCGAAACGTACTTATACTACTCGGATTGATACCAAATTTTGCGGGCAGGTATTAAATATTATACTGGACCTGTATTGGGCTCCGGAACCAACATACGAGCCCGATACCAACGTGATCAATCATTATTTAGTTTCTTTAAATCCTTAGAATTTCAGTTTAACAATTTCTAATAAAATTCATTACTCGGGCTAGGACCTCGGAATTCGATTCCGGACATACGACCAGGTCGCATATTTTCCTACAGACCCTCCGGAACCGTCAAAACACGAATCCGGGCCTGTTTTCTAAAAATGTTGACCAAAGTCAAACTTAGCCTTTTAAGAAAATCTTAAGGAATCAAATGAGCATATTTCAACCCAAATTCTTCCAAATCCCAAACCAACCATCCCCTTAGGTCGTAAATTAGTTAAAGAAAGCGCGGGAAGTTTTATTTAGGGGAACGAGGTTCTAAAAAGTAAAACGACCAGCCAGGTCGTTACATTCTCCACCTCTTAAACAAACGTTCATCCTTGAACGGACATAGAAAAGTACCTGACGTGCTGAATAAATGTGGGTATCTGCTCCGCATGTCCTCCTCGGATTCCTAGGTCACCTCCTCGACTGGTTGGCCCCTCCACTGGACCTTCACCGCTGAAATCCTCTTGGATCTTAATTGGCGATCATGTCTATCAATAATGGCAACTGGCTCCTCCTCATAACTTAGACTCTTCTCCAGCTGAATAGTGCTGAAGTCTAACACATGGGACAAGTCGGCATGATACCTCCGAAGCATAGACACATGAAAAATTAGGTGAACTCCTGATAAACTGGTGGGTAAAGCAAGCTCGTAAGCAACCTCCCCAACTCGCCTCAACACCTCAAATGGGCCAATAAACCTTGGGCTCAGCTTGCCCTTCTTCCCGAACCTCATAACACCCTTTATTGGCGAGACTTTCAAGAGGACCTTCTCGCCAACCATGAATGATACATCATGCGCCTTCTGATCTACGTAACTCTTCTGTCTGGACTGAGTTGTGCGAAGCCTCTCCTGAATCAACTTTGCCTTGTCCAAGGCATCTTGCACCAAATTTGTACCGTATAACTTAGCCTCACCCGGCTCAAATCACCCGATAGGAGAACGACACCGCCGACCGTATAAAGCCTCAAATGGAGCGATCTCAATGCTGGACAGATAGCTGTTGTTGTAAGCAAACTCTGCCAAAGGCAAAAACTGATCCCACTGTCCTCCAAAGTCAATCACACATGCTCTGAGCATGTCCTCCAAAATCTGAATTGTCCGATCCAACTACCTGTCGGTTTGAGGATGAAATGTTGTGCTAAGCTCTACGTGGGTCCCTAACTCATTATGAACGACTCTCTAGAAATGGGAAGTGAACTGAGGGCCTCTATCTGATATTATGGAAATGGGCACACCGTGCAACCTGACTATCTCCCGAATGTAAATTTGGGCCAATCTCTCTGAAGTGTAAGTAGTCACAACTGGAATAAAATGCGCCGACTTGGTCAATCTGTCAACAATGACCCATACTACATCAAACTTCTGCAAGGTCCGGGGAAATCCAACTACGAATTCCATAGTAATGTGCTCCCACTTCCACTCTAGTATAAGCATCTGCTGAAATAGGCCACCCGGTCTCTGGTGCTCATACTTAACCTGCTGGCAATTCAAACACTTAGCCACATACTCCACTATGTCCTTCTTCATTCTCCGCCACCAATAATGCTACCTCAAGTCACAATACATCTTCGTCAAACCCGGATGAATGGAATACTGCGAACTGTGTGCCTCCTCTAGTATTCTCTCCCTCAGACCATCAACATTAGGAACACATAGGCGACCCTGGAGTCGCAAAATGCCATCCTCGCCAATAGAAACCTCCTTGGCACTGCCCTGAAGCATTGTCTCTCTGAGAACCGCCAAATGTGGATCATCAAACTGTCAGGCATTGATCTGCCCCAATAATGAAGAATGATCAACAATGCACGCAAGAACTCGGCTGGGCTCTGAAATATCCAACCTCACAAGTCTGTTAGCCAAGGACTGAATGTCCTAAGCTAGTGGTCTCTCTTCTGCTGGAATGAATGCCAAGCTACCCATACTCTCTGCTTTCCTGCTTAAGGCATCCGCGACCACATTTGCCTTGCCCGGATGATAAAGAATGGTGATGTCATAATCCTTCAGCAACTCAAGCCATCTACACTGCCTCAAATTGAGATCCCTCTACCTAAAAAAGTGTTGTAAGCTGCGATGATCAGTATAAACCTCACATGATATCCCGTACAGATAATGCCTCCATATCTTAAGGGCATGAACAATCGCGACCAACTCCAAATTGTGCACAAGATAATTCTTCTCATGGATCTTCAGCTGACGCGAAGCATATGCAATAACTCGCCCCTCCTGCATCAGTACACATCCCAATCCAACGCGCGAAGCGTCGCAATATACCGTATACATCCCTGAACCGGAAGGCAATACAATCTTGAGCTTCTGAAAGCTCGCCTCACAATCATCGGACCAACGGAAAGGAGCACCCTTCTGGGTCAATCTAGTAAGAGGTGATGCAATAGATGAAAAGCCCTACACCAATCGTTTGTAATAACCAGCTAACCCCAGGAAACTCCTAATCTCGGTCACTGAAGTAGGACGTGGCCAACTCTAAACTACCTCAATCTTCTTGGGATCTACCTTAATGCCCTCTCCTGACACAACATGTCCCAAGAATGCCACTGACTCTAGCCAAAACTCACACTTGGAGAACTTAGCATATAGCTTTTGCTCTCGCAAGGTCTGAAGCACTACTCTCAAATGTTGTTCGTGCTCCCCCAAGCTACGTGAGTATATCAAGATGTCGTCAATGAAAACGATGACAAAGGAATCAATATAAGGTCTGAACACCCTGTTCATCAAGTTCATAAATGCCGCTGGGGCATTAGTCAAGCCAAAGGACATTACCAGGAACTCATAATGGTTGTATCTAGTCCAGAATGCAGTCTTCAGAACATCCGAATCTTGAATCTTCAACTGGTGGTGCCCTGACCTCAAGTTGATCTTAGAGAACACGCTAGCACCCTGCATCTGGTCAAACAAATCATCAATGCGAGGCAATGGATACTTGTTCATGATGGTGACTTTATTCAGCTGGCAGTAATCGATGCACATCCGCATAGTCCCATCCTTCTTCTTCACAAATAACACTGGTGCACCCCAAGGTGATACACTAGAGCAAACCCCTTTGCTAACAACACCTCAAGTTGTTCCTTCAACTCCTTTAACTCCTTCGGAGCCATACGGTACGGTGGGATAGATATAAGCTGGGTGACTGGAGCCAAATTAATATAGAAATCAATATCACGATCCGATGGCATGCCAGGAAGATCAGAAGGAAACACATCGGCGAACTCTCGAACTATTGGAACTGAATCAATTATCGGAGACTCCGCGTGGTATCTCGAACATAAGCCAAATAAGCCAAACACCCCTTCTCGACCATATGTCGAGCCTTCAGGAAAGAGATAACCCGGATAGACGTATCAACTGTGGAACCCTTCCATTCCAACCTTGGCAACCCTGGCATTGCTAATGTAACAGTCTTGGCATGGCAAATAGGACGGCGTGATATGGAGACAACCAATCCATGCCTAGGATGATCTCAAAGTCGATCATATCAAGCAATAGGAGATCCGCTCTAGTCTCAAAACCACAGAGCGTGACCACACAAGACCGGTAGATCCGATCCACAACCACAAAATCACCCACGGGACACACATGAATAGGAGTGCCCAAAGGCACATGAGGAATAACCAGGAAACGAACAAACAGAGATGATACATATGAATAGGTGGACCCTGGATCAAACAATATCGAAGCATCTCTACCGCAGACAGAAATAATACATGTGATGACGGCATTTGAGGTTAATGCATCTGACCTAGCCGGAAGGGCATAGAATCTAGCTGGAGCGCCGGTTGGCTAGCCTCCACTAAGTAAGCAGTAGTTGACTGACCTCTCCCTGCCTGGCCTCCACCTCTAGGATGACCTCTACCCGCCTGTCCCCCGCCTCTGGGAGGCTGAGCAACCGGTGCAGAAATCATAGGCTGCTAACCCTGCTGTACTACCTTGCCCCAAAGTCTAGGGCAGGTCCTCTTCATGTGACCTGGATATCCACACTCGTAGCAACCCCTCGGCACCATAGTCTGCTGCCCTGAAGTCTGAGCCTGCTGACCCGAATATCCACCAGAAGAACCCTGAATGGCTGGTGGGTGATATGAACTCTCTGGCATGGCACTAGAGTAAGCACTACAAGAACCCTGATGACCAGAATACCCGCCGGAGGAACCTTAAATAGCTAGTGGGCAGTAAGAACTCTCCGACATCGCACTAAAATAAGGTCTCACTGGAGCACTTCGGGGAGGTGGTGGTGGTGCTGAATACGGGGGCCTGCTGGGCTGACCCCTCCCCGTGTGCCCCTGTCCCTAGCTGGGGCACCTCTGAGCTCTCCAAAAAATTAAGCCCTCTTGTCCTGCTGAAACTGCTCTCTACCCCTCTGGCGATAACCCTCAATCCTGCGAGCAATCTCCACCACTAGTTAATACTCAGTACCCATCTCTACCTCTCGGGCCATGCTAGCTTTCCCGAGGTGCAACCCCGCAACAAATCTCTACACTCTCTCTGCATCTGTGGGAAGTATCATGAGTGCATGGCGAGACAACTCAGAGAACCTCGCCTCATAATCGGTCATAGACATCTGACCCTGCTCAAGATGCTCAAACTGATACCGCAGCTCTTCCCTCTCAGAGGGTGGAATATACCTATCCAAGAATAACTGTGTGAATTGACCCCAAGTGAGGGGAGAAGAACCTGCTAGCCTGCCAAAAACATAGGACTGCCACCATCTACGGGCCCTGCCCTCCAACTGAAATGTAGTGAAGTCAACTCCATGCAACTCCAATATCCTCATGTTAAGCAGTCTGTCCCTACACATATCAATGAAATCCTGGGCATCCTCATGACGCTCACCCCCGAAGATAGGAGGTGAAGTCTAGTCCATCTATCCAATGACTTCTGCGGGTCACCATCCGCAGCTGGTCTAGGCTCGGGCACCATTGTAGTGACTGGCTGAGCCCCATCTGTGGGTAGTTCACTCGGAGTCTGATACACTGTAGCTGCGTGACCAGGACCCTGAGCAGTAGGGGTCTGTGCTCCCTCTCCTACCTGCGATGTAGCTGGGTTTGCTGGAAATAAACCAGCTTGAGTTATGGTGTCCATGAATCGTAGCATACGACCCATAACCTCCTGGAAACCCAGTGCTGTCATAAAGTCCGCCTGGGTAGGCTCGGCCGCGGGGCACCTCGCCCTGCTCCTCAATGGTAGGATCCTCCGCAGGATCTGCTGGTGGTGCTACTAGGACCGCTCTGGGACGCCCTCGTCCCCTACCTCGGCTGGTTCCCTCCCCCGGCCTCTGCCTTGGCCTCTAGCAACGGGGGGAGCAGCTCCTCCCGGGTCTGGAACATCAGTCGTGCGTGTCCTCATATATCTGTGAGAGAATAGAAGAGGAAAATTTAGTATATCAACCACTGCACGATAGGAAATGAATAAAGAGTAGTTTCCTAACACCTTATAGCCTCTAGAAGATAAATACAGATGTCTCCGTATCGATCCGCAAGACTCTATAAGGTTTGCCCATGACTTGTGAGACCTACGTGAACCTAGTGCTCTGATACCATATTGTCACGACCCATTTCCATAATAGTTCATGATGGCAACCAACACCATTGTCGAGCAAGCCAACACGGAAATATAAATAAGTTCTCATTTTAGTTTTACCAAAATAATTGCAGCAATTTCTTAAGTTAAAGTTAAAATAAGTAATAACCAGTAATGTACCAAAATAATTATACAAATTCCGAAAATAACAGTCTACTAATGTGTGTGCCAAGACTTGGTGTCACAAGTTGTGGGCAACTAGTAGAATATACAAAAGAATAACTCTATCCTACTTGCCGAAATAGAATAGACAGCAAAAAATAAGTAAAGTGAGACTCCATCAAGCTACTAAACGACACAGGAAGGGAGCAGCTCACTGTGAAGGTCTCGGAATATACTCAGGGATGCGCACCAGACTGATTGCCAGATGTACCTGCCTCAGATCCTACACAATTAAGTACAGAAGTGTAGAGACGAGAAGTCAACTTGACACTTACTAGGGTCAAATAATATAAGAGATGAATTATACTGAGCATGGATTAGTAGTGTGTAGCAAGAACTAACAGGTCCTCTCCTAGATAATGTCATAGCTGGCAACTTCCATTCCAGGACAAATAATAAACTCAAGTCATAGAAAAAAATGCTGAGTAAAGCATGTGCAAGTAGTGTCGAGGTTGTACGGCCCGATCCAACATAAAAGTAAATTGTGCACTGCCGAGGGTCGAACGACACGAACCATAGATGCATCTATTACCCCGCTCGCGAATCAACCATGCGACGCGGTCAAATGGGATAAAACACAACAACAAGCTAACAAGAACATATAACGGGGGAGAAATTACTCACTGAATTATCAACTTTTCTTTTAAAAGGCCAATAAAGATCATGCTCCTCTTAACTAGTCTCATTTATCGTAATCACCATGATTTAAACAATCCAAATTAAACGTAGAGTTGCAAGAATACCACATAAAGCATGCTTTAGGGTCCTAAACTACCCGGACTTAGCATAATAGTAGCTACGCATGGACTCTCGTCACCTAGTGCGTACGTAGCCCCCGCATTTAATGGCAAATTACTAGATTACATCATCTATGGGGACAATTCCCTCTTACAAGGTTAGATAGGAGACTCACCTCGATCCAAAGCGTACTTCCAATACCAAGAACGAGCTCAAACTCTCAATTTGGAGCCGAACGATCCAAAACTAGATAAACGAGGTAGGAACTAGTCAAAACAAGCTTCCAAGATCGCATTCTAACTATTTAATACAAGTTTCCTAAAATCCGACCCCAGCCCACTTGCCCGGATTACTAAATTTTTCAAAGAAAGTTGTTCTTTGTAACCTAAGGATCAATAATATATGATTTCTACTTCATTTCATAACCAATTCCGTGGTAAAATATGAGTTTTATCAAAACCCTAGGTTTTGCTCTAATCCCTTGATTTTTCCAAATCTTTATGTGTTAATCTACCCAAAACGCAAGTATTAAACTTAGAAATAAGGGGGATGAACTTACCTCAAGATGCTAGGTGGAAATCTTCTCTCAAGAGCTCTAAAATCGCCCAATACATGAGTGCACAATGGGCAAAAATGACTGGAGCTTGTATTAAGTGAAACTCACTGCTTCAGTGATTTCTGCATTTGCGGTCAGGGGACCACATCTGCGGTCAGGGGACTGCATCTGCAGTCCCGCTTCTGCGAGGAAGGGGTTGCATTTGTGGAATTGGCCAAGCGGGCTGGGACCGCTTCTGCGACTAGGGAGCGACTTCTGCAGTTTTGGGCCTGGCCTGCCTTGGCCGCATCTGCAAGAGGACGACCGCTTTTGCGGTCTCGCACCTGCGGCTGACCAAGCGCAGGTGCGGTTATGACAGAAACCAGAAGCTTCAGCTCTTCTCAACCTTTCCAACTTCACTCGAGCCTCGTCCGATTGACGCTCGACGCTCACGGGCCCCGCCCGAACATACCGACAAGTCTGAAATCATGAAACAGACCCGCTCGAACCCTCGAAACACCCAAAACAACTCTAAATCTATAATCACCCCCTAAAACCAATTGAATCAAACTTGTGAACTTCAAGTTCTTAAATTCACTTCTAACGTACCGAAACGTACTTATACTACTCAGATTGACACCAAATTTTGTGGGCAGGTATTAAATGTTATATTGGACCTGTACTGGGCTCTGGAACCAACATACGAACCCTATACCAACGTGATCAATCATTATTTAGTTTCTTTAATTCCTTAGAATTTCAGTTTACCAATTTCTAAAACAAATTCATTACTTAGGCTAGGGACCTCAGAATTCGATTTCGGACATACGCTCAGGTCCCATATTTTCCTACGAACCCTCCAAATTATCAAAACACGAATCCGAGTCCGTTTACTAAAAATGTTGACCAAAGTCAAATTTAGCCTTTTAAGAAAATCTTGAGGAATCAAATGAGCATATTTCAACCC